TTCAAAATGTGTTTACTAAGCAAACAGCTTTGGCTTCCAGAAGCCGTCACAGGTGGCCTCAAAGAAGCGGTCCACCATCTTGAACTTGTTCGCCTCCAGGGACATGTACCGCGTGCGGTAGTCCCTGATGGCCTTGTTTCCGCCCACCGCCTCGGCCCACTCGACGTTGCCCACCTTCCCGGGGGCGCCCGTCTTGGCGAACTGCGTCCAGGCGTGGATGATGTCCTTGCTCAGCTGGAACAGCTCTGCGTCCTTGCGGGTGGTGGCCAGGCTGAAGAGGTACTGCACGTCGGCGCCGTGGGTGACGCCCTGCCACTTGCTGGGCGTCAGCGAGGCCTTGTACTCCATCAGGCGGTAGGCGTAGAAACGGGAGCTGGCAGAGGCGTGTCGGGCCATCTCCTCGCCAAAGAGGACGGTCGGACAGACGAGGGCGTAGTCGCCGAAGACGCTTGACATGAGGATTCTAGGTGAGAAAAAAGAGGAACAAAAAATCAGCATCTGGTTATTTACTGAAAATAATATTAGCTTGAAATCTATCTCTCTGCTTACTTGTAGTCATCCTGCGTGAAGTTGGCCGTCACCCTGCTCATGTAGTAGTCGATGATCTCCTGCTGGTGGGCGATGTTGTACTTCTTCAGCAGGACGGCCATGTTGAGCTTCAGCGATGACCTGTTGATGTCATCGCTGGTCATTAGCTCGGGAACGATGAACAGCGCAAAAACGCTGCCCTCGTCGCGGGTGGTTCCGTAGATGACGTCGACGTCCTTGTTGAAGTGGCCGCTCTTCAGAGCCTCAGAAGGCTTGATGGGCATAAACTCGTCGCCGTAGGTGGGAACAAAGAAGTTGTTGGTGAGAAAGTCGTCACCGGAGGCCTCCTTCAGCGTATCGATGGGCGTCTTCTTAATGCAGGCGACCAACTTTTCAATGTCCTTCTCAGTGCAGTTCACCTTGCCTCCCAGCCATGCGGTCTTCTCCAGAGCTCGAGCCTTTGAGTTGCCGAGGACCTCCACTGCCGGTGAGCCCGATTGAAGGATGGCTCGTTTAAAAAGACCGTTTGCCAGAGGGCTGAGGATGAGCGCACCGACGCTGATCGAACCGGCAGACTCGCCAAAGATGGTCACCTTCTGGGCGTCACCGCCAAAGTAGTGAGCATTCTTGGCGACCCATTTCAGAGCCAGCAGTTGATCTAGAAGACCCAGATTGGCGGGAATGTCGCCGCCCATCATGAAANGGACCTCCACTGCCGGTGAGCCCGATTGAAGGATGGCTCGTTTAAAAAGACCGTTTGCCAGAGGGCTGAGGATGAGCGCACCGACGCTGATCGAACCGGCAGACTCGCCAAAGATGGTCACCTTCTGGGCGTCACCGCCAAAGTAGTGAGCATTCTTGGCGACCCATTTCAGAGCCAGCAGTTGATCTAGAAGACCCAGATTGGCGGGAATGTCGCCGCCCATCATGAAACCAAGCGGTCCCAGGCGGTAGTTGACCGTCACCACGACGACGTCTCCCAGAGCGGCCAGGTCCTTGCCCTCCATCGCACCGGAGCCGCCCTCAAAGGCGCCGCCGTGGATGAAGACCATCACCGGCTTTTTGCTGTTGCTGCTAGAGCCGTTGTTTTTAGAAACTGGCTCCCAAACGTTGAGGAACAGACAATCTAAAAAAGTAATTTTTGTTAACTATATAAAAACAATGTCTTTAAAGCATCCGAACCATCTGACTGTCCTTCTTTGTGCGGNACCATCACCGGCTTTTTGCTGTTGCTGCTAGAGCCGTTGTTTTTAGAAACTGGCTCCCAAACGTTGAGGAACAGACAATCTAAAAAAGTAATTTTTGTTAACTATATAAAAACAATGTCTTTAAAGCATCCGAACCATCTGACTGTCCTTCTTTGTGCGGCTGAAGGGCGGAAAGGAAACCAAACTGATGACAGGAGGCTCTGAACTTGGTGGCGTCCTCTACGCCTGACCAGGACTCAACTAGAGTTGACTTTTCGTAGCGATTTGATTTTCCTAAAGAAGTTTTAACAAAAAGTTAGTTGAATTTAAAAAGAGAAATCTGGCTGTTTTTACCATATCGAATGCCGAGAAACTCCTTCACCTCGACGCCTGTCACAGATTTGGCCATTTTGCCCTTGATTTTGCCACCGGCTATTTGAAGCTCCTCAGCAGTGGCTGAAAGGCAGAAAATGGCGGCAACCAAAAAAGCGGTTAAAAGGATAAACTTGGCCATTGCTTCCAATGTTTATTATGTGCTATTAGAAAGTAAAAATGGTAACTTTCTACATTTTTGCATTTGTGAAAACTGAGGTTTTTATACTAAATTTTATTTTTTTGTACGCAAGCTATACAGTCATTTCCACCATTTTGGCGACAAAAATATGCGTCGATTGCCTTTGTGGGTCAGGGTGCTACCCAGTGTTACTGAAAAAGGTACAACTTTTTGTCTGTTTTCTTTAGCTTTCCCAAGTTCAAGGTGTTACCTAAATGTGCACCTAATGTTTGCATATTCTTGTTGCACAGTTTATTACATTGAGGGTGACAACTGCTTTACTATCTTAAACTTTCTTTTATCTCGTTCAAAAGCATCATTTATGTTAGGTACAATGACTTTTTTTACGCTTTAAAGGCCTTAAGGCCATACTCGATTTACTGAAAAGTGGGCTTTCCTGCGCCGTCTACAAAACATGTGTTTCAATGGGGCTTGTTATAATTCTTTTGGTGCATTTATCTCAAAATCTAAATTACAGATTAAAATGATGTAAAAACAAAAATAAATTTTAAAACTTTATCTAAATTTTTTGTAGTTAAATATTTGAGTTAGAATATGTTAAAATTATTAAACAAACAAAATAAACATTTCACACTTTTTTTGTATATTTCTATCACATTTTATTCAAATATTTAATCACAGAAATTTAGATTAAGTTTTGAACTTCATTTTTACTTTTAACATCACTTTAATCTGATATAAAGATTTTGAGATAAATGTATCTAGAAAATCATAACAAGCCCCATTGAAACGCATGTTTTGTGAACGCCGCAGGAAAGTCCACTTTTAGTAAATCGAGTATGGCCTTAACTTTTTTTATTTAGAACACGTGTGAACAAAAAGTAAACTCATAACGTTTAACAAAAGGTAAAAATTAAATGTTTGGTTCACTTCTTCTTTTGCTTGAAGTGGTTAACAATTTTCATTTATGAAAACAGCTTTGGCTTCCAGAAGCCGTTACAGGTGGCTTCAAAGAAACGGTCCACCATTTTGAAGTGTTTCGTTTCCAGCGACATGTACCGCGTGCGGTAGTCCTTGACGGCCTTGTTTCCGCCCACCGCCTCGGCCCACTCGACGTTGCCCATCTTTCCGGGAACGCCCGTTTTGGCGAACTGCGTCCAGGCGTGGATGACGTCCTTGCTCAGCTGGTACAGATCGGCGTCTTTCTTTGTTTCTTCCACTTTGAAGAGGTACTGCAGATCGGAGGAGTGAGCCACGCCCATCCAGCTTGGTCCCATCGCCGGCTTGTACTCCATCAGTCGGTAGGAGTAGAAACGAGAGTTGGGGGAGCTCTTTTGGGCCAACATTTCGCCAAACAGAATGGTCGGGCACACCAGGGCGTAGTCGCCAAAGGCGCCAGAAATAAGTGCTCTAATAGTGCAAAATGGGAGAATTAAGAAAAAATTTAAAAAGCAGTTTAAACTTTCACTTACTTAAAGTCGTCCTGTGTGGTGTTGGCCGTCACCTTGCCCGAGTAGTAGTCGATGATCTCCTGAGAGTGGCCAATGTTGAATTTTTTGAAAACCTTTTCCGTGTACTTCTTGATGGAGCTCTTGTCCAGGTTGTTGTCGCCCATGATCTCGGGGATGATGAAGAGGGCAAAGATGCCGCCCTCGTCGCGGTTAGTTCCGTAGATGAGGTCGAGGTTCTTCTTGAAGTGACCACTCTCGAGGGCCTTCTGCGGCTGCAGCGGCAGCAGCTCGTCGCCCCAGACGGGCACGAAGAAGGCGTTGGTGACGAAGTCGTCCGCCGAGGCGGCCTTCAGCTGCTCCACGTCGACCTTCTTGATGCACTCCACCAGCTTGCGGACGTCCTTCTCCGTGCAGTTGACCTTGGCGCCGAGGATGGCCGTCTTCTCCAGCGATCGCTCCTTTGAGTTGCAGAGGGTCTCCACGGCGAGGGAGCCCGACTGCAGGATGCCCCGCTTGAAGAGGCCCTCCTCCGCCAGGGGGCTGAAGATGTACGCGCTGACGCTCATGGCGCCCGCCGACTCGCCGAAGAGGGTCACCTGGCTGGCGTCGCCGCCGAAGAAGTGGATGTTCTGCTTGACCCACTTCAGCGCGAGCAGCTGGTCGTGGAGGCCCTGGTTCGTCTGCAGGTCGGCGCCCATCATGAAGCCCAGCGGGCCGAGGCGGTAGTTCATGGTGACGAGAATGACGTCGCCCTGCGCCGCCAGGTCCTTGCCCTCCATCACCCCGGAGCCGCCCTCAAAGGCGCCGCCGTGGATGAAGACCATCACCGGGCGTTTCGCCTCGCTCTTCTTTGCCGGCACCCACACGTTCAGGTAGAGGCAGTCTGCACAAAGCAAAAGGGAGTTGGCCTTAGGTCTAAAGTTCTCTGCGTTTGGAAAAACAGCCCTTACCATCACTCTGTGCGTTGGTTTGCGGCAACAGTGTGGCAATCAGACCAAACTGGTGGCAGACATCCTTGAACTGGGTGGCATCCTGAACGCCGGTCCAGGAACTGTATGGGACGGCCTTCTCGTACCGTTTTGCAGTGGCTAAACAGAAGGTAGATTAGATTTTTTTATTGTATGGTATGTTAAACAAAAAGGCTTACCGTATTTGATGCCCAAAAACTCTCGCACCTCAACGCCGGCCTCTGACTTGCCCAGTTTGCCCTTGATTTTGCCGCCGGTAATTTGCAGCTCTTCTGCTGATGAAAAGCAAAGAAGGTAGGCAGATGCCA